AGCTCAGCCTATCTTTCCCCTCTGAGGCATCTTCCACTGTGCCAGCAGTTCTGGAGACTCAGATTTCCATTGCCTCTCTATTCTGTTCAAACCAGCAGGTCCACTTCAGCCACCAGAGATGAAGGCCCCTGATAGACAGAGCACAGACGACGGCTGGAGGGTCACTGAGTCCTGGAACCACACACACCACACTGAACGCATAAGTGTGCACACATGACAGAGTGTCTTCTGGGAAGAAGATCCATAGATTGGGTCAAAGGCATCCTGGGTGTCCTGGGGGTCGGATACATACACAACTAGGTGTGAGAGCCAAGAACATCACAGTAAACTTCCCTGCCACCTCCAGGAACAATGGGGCCATGCTGAAGATCACAGATTGGTTCACAAGGCTATCCAAGGAGACAACACCCAGAAGAACCAGAAAGGAGACAGTCCTGGAGCAAAGGTACCACGTGAAGACCAGTCCTGTTGGGAGAGGAGGACATCGGGACCAACAGGAGTCAAAGCAGCCACCCAGCCAACCAAGGACAGCCGCATCCCAAAAGCTCTGCAGTGGAGACAGCAGGGAGCAGGGCGGAGATGGCTGAGCAGTGGGCTGTGGCTGCCTGAGGCTGTCCCTGAGACCCAGCCAGGCCCGCATTTCCCGTGCCAGAAGAAACCATGACCTACATGTGGATCCAAGTGGAACTCTGGGATGAAATGGCTGGAAATCCCCCTCCTGGTGTGTCAGCAAGAGAACCTTCAACATACAGTCTGGGTTCATAAAGTGCCCTTCCCCAAGTGATCAAGGGGAAAAATCAACAGTACTAAGTTGGGTTGGTGGCAGGGAACCTTGTGATGCAAACAACACTTGACCTTCATCAAGACCTTCTTCCACCAAACTCCACGCAGGCTGGTCGTGAGAAAAACATCAAACAAGTTCCAACTGAGTCAGATGGTCTCCCATAAATCAGCCGGAGCAAGGCAAGACAAGGAAAGTAAGAGAAACCCACCGCCCAGAGGAAATGAAGGAGACAGGATGTGTAAATGCATCCTGGATGGGATCCAGCAAGAGAAAAAGGGCAATAGGTTGAAATGAAGGGACTCTGAGAAAAGTATGGGCTTTAGTGAATACCAATGCACCCATACTGGCTCATAACCAATAATAATTTAAGATATTAAGATATTCATAATAGGAGATACTCAGAGTGAGCTATACAGGAATTTCCTGTACATCTTCATAATTCTCTTAGGAATATAAAAGTGTTCTGAAACATTTACTAACCTTCAGAGGCTCATCTGTAACATTAGAATATTGCTGGAGAGAAAGAGCATAACCAGCGGTCTGAGCCCAGATTTTCTGGGCAAGAAATCTGGCTTGGACAATCCCTGGTACTCCAAGGAGAAACCCTGAGCCAGAACTAGCTGCTGAGCATTGCTGAGTAAGTCCCTGCCCAACACCCCCCCCAAAAAAAAATTAAGAGTAGCATTCTAACTCCTGTGGAGACTAAATGAATTAGTATACTAACAGCATTAGCTATTCATAGTTTGGCTTTTGTGGAGCACATTGATATTTTATGTATGCCAATGGAAAGAAAGTCTGATCTGTAGTGGTAAACGCTAACTTACTAGTAAATGTCCCCAATCTGTCCAAAATTCTATCAAGGACGCGCTGTGTTTGTACAAAGGTCACATAGTGAGCAGCCGTGGAAACTCAGCTGGCCACGGGAAGCCTGTCCAGAATCATGTCTTAGAAACCTACTGATCACATTACAAGTGATAACTCTTTGTTACTTGGAGCTTAGCACTTCTGGTGTGAGAAATGAAGTTTGTATTTTAGTACCAGAGTAAGGACTGAGCTGACTCTCATGGAGAAACAGCAGCCCCCAAGACTAAAGTTAAAAATATGAGAAACTTTTCAATCACTGAAATGTGTGACAGCCAAAATTATCACACATCTACAGCCCAGAGATTTTCTCCTAGCTCCAGTGAGACTGACTGAACACATGCGCAGCATACATGGCCTCTTGTTTCCTGTTTAAAATCCTGCAAACCCACCGCCTTCCACCCTTTTGGCTATGGATTCAAACTTTCAGTGGAAGGTTTAAGATGTATTTAAGATAATATAAATAAGAAATTCCCCAAATATGGTAGTCCCGGTATGTCTCTGGTATTTCTAGTTTTATTTTTGGGACCTACAAGTGATGCTGAAGAGGCCTGGGGACCTCTCCCAGTGACTCTCAGGCCAGCTGGGTCAGAGGTTCAAAGCGAGGTTCAGGCTGTGGTCCTGCTGAGCCCTGGGGTGCCCCGGACTCCACTAGCAGGCCTAGGAGGCCCCATGGAGACCGGGGGTGGAGCCGGACAGGTGCAGGCCTGGTACATCTCCTTGGCCCCTTCAGTATTTCTAAGTGCTATTCTGTAGTTTCCTTAGATGTTCAATCTGTATTTTATTATCTGCAATTATTACATAAAAAAGTATTCCCAAGTTATGTTGATCATTTTAATGGCCACTGGGTGTGTCTCCTGTTAGCAGTAGTAGTGGGGACGGTCTTTACTTATAACAGAAGGGTCATCCCAGAGACTGTTCACTCCAACAATGAGGACAAATATGTCCTCATGACAGAGTAAAGAATGAGGAACGGAAGGACTGAAAAGATGTAAGAATGAGATATATTCAATCTAGGGGGGGAAGCACCGTACAAATGACATCTCAAATTCATTTCTTCCCCTTCTTCAAAATAAGATGCTAAAAAAGCTTCAAACTATCAGAAATATTAAGCTGTTTTGACATATGTCCCCCTCACACCTAAAAATCAGAGGCATGGTCTTTTTCAGTGTAGTTTTTAAATGATATTTTAGAATAGTGTGGTTGATGAAAATGCGAACTGTATTATTTACTTTGTCTTTTTGATTGGCACTTTAAAAACAGCTACATTTTATACTTTCAAAATATTTTTATCTCCTATAAGAAAGATATCAATTTCATATTCTTGGAATTATGCACAGAGAAATCTCAGTCCAAAAAAGGAAAGCCCCTTTTCTTTCAAAATGAAAAAATCACCAAGATGTTATTTCAATATGGATACTAACTAAATAGATTAATTCCAGTAATCATAAGCTACACAATGATTTATGCATTATAAGGAAAGAAGTAAATTTTAGTGACCAATGTGTACAGACTTTCTAAGACTTAAAGACACACAGATACAAATTTTACCCTCACATTTAGAAGCTCTCACCATATAGTAAAAATACAGGCTAAAATTTTTATAACTGATACTATAATGTTAATAAATCTTCAGTTTCTCTAATTTTACTGTTTTTTTTTCCTTGATTGGATTATACTGATTTAAGTGGAAGCATGGTTACTCTTCAGTTTCTCATTAAAAAAAAAAAAAAGTGAACCAGGGAGGTACCCAAATTTTTAATTACAATTTATTTTCTTTATGATATATCTCCAAAGAAAATCAGAACAATAAATCTGCAATGATCCAATTAACAGCAATATTAAAAAACATTACGTGGCTCCTATTCTCTTAAGATAACATCAATTAATGAACTAAAGACATTTTAAGTTAAAAATTCTAGTTACCTATGTAAAGACATTCCCCCTCTCCATTATACAAATGACTACAGGTGACTGATCTAGATTTATTATAATTCCCACACCAGAGTTCAGAATTCCACATTCTGAAGGTTAAAAGAACAGAAGGCAGTAAATATCCACAGAGAAGACACACTTGCACACATTAACACATTCTGTCTCCATCTCTTATGATGCCTATATTAAAAGCCAACAAAGTATGAGCGTTATCAAAACTGGCAAAGAAATATTATTTAATTGTAGAGAACAAGAATCCAATATTCACAAACTGTGTGTGCCTTTAAATAGCTGGAAATATTTTCAAAAAAATTTTCATGCCCCAACTTGTTACATAATAGGCTATCCTGGTTTATTTACTTCAGGATTTTTTTTGCCACACCCGGTGGTGCTCACGGCTTACTCCTAACTAGCTCTGTGCTCAGGAATCACGGCTTACTCCTAACTAGCTCTGAGCTCAGGAATCGCTCAGAGGATCTAAAGCGGTCCTGGGGATAGAAACCAAGTCGGCTGGCAGCAAAGGCAGAGTCCTGCCCACTGCACTGATCTCCAGTCCATGGTTTAAACTGATCAATCAGAAAATCCCTACTTCAAAGACAAAGCCAGGCTCCAAGGGTAAAGATGTATGAAGTCCCTATGAAATTAGCAACCTTTTTTCCCCTTCCTCTCCTCAAACTGACTTTCCTTTCTTCTTCCCCTTTTTACCAGCTGACCACTGTAGGTCCCCTTCAACTCCTAAAGAATTGCCCTTCATTTCCCTGAACTGCAGGATTTCCAGGGAAGTGCAGGTAGGAGCTGTCAGGTCAGACAGAGAGAGACGTTTTACTATCATCTCTGTATTCATATGGAAAGCTGCAACATAGACAGGACAAAGAAATGGCCATAAGAAAGGCACTGACACTACAGTAAGTTAAACTGACAACAGCCACAATGTGTAGCTCCTAAAAAAACCTTTTTCATCAGCATTTAAAAAAAAATGACTATGATCTGTTACAAACTAGAAAGTCCTTAAAATCTTTATACCACAGAAACATCTCCTGTACTTTGGCTGTGACAACCAAAGGTAAATGATTGAAGCACAGGACAAGGCAATGATGCATCAAATTGCTACTATATATTATTTTCAGGACAGCCAGATCTATTCGTGGAGTATGACATTTCAAGATGAATGCTCCACATATGTTGTTTTTATAACCTTATGGAATTAAAGCATGAGATTAAAAAAATAATTCTTGCAAAGGACCACACATGCACACCAAGATATATATGTGTAATACGTGGAGGGATCATCTATATAGACATATAGAAAAGCACAGTTAAGATAATACAGCGACACTCAATTATTTTAAAACATTATAGACAAAATCCCACCCCCACCCTCCACCCCACCCCATTTTCTAATGGTAAGAAAATAGTCAACCTGCATGAACTGGAATCAGATTCATTTTCTTCTTCACTAGTGCCATCATCCACTTCTGGTTTATCCAGCCAGTGTGCACCGCCACAATCTTCTGCCGTAAACTCATATGCGGGGACTTCAGAGGTGGATGCCATTGGCCAAGAAGGTGAATTCTGAAAATCCAGTTGGCTGGACCTTCGGTAACCAATTGAAGCCAAAGGCAATTGGAGGCTACATGGGTCTAAAAACTTTCTCCCACCGTTTGCTCCGGTCTGTCCTCGATTCCAAAATTCTCCCTGCTGGCTGTCAACTGCAGAATTAGGAGATGATGCTTGATGGCCAAACCACCTCCATCTGATTTTCAAAATCTGCTTCACATCAAACTCTTTACGAGAACCAGACATCCTCAGAGAAACCCAGGGATCGTCTAGGCAACGGGCAAAAAGCACTGCACACAGACTGGTGCATCCAACCAAGACCAAGTGTAAGCCGTGCTGCACACAATAAACAGATCGAAAGGAAAATAGATCACATTCACATATACATCTACATTCACTTTTATGCAGATATATATATACCAGGTTAATAAAGAACAAAGGATCATGAATAAAGATGAAGCGCGGTGGAACATTCCGCGCAATCAGAGCAAACTCTCATCCACCTATCGGAAGCAGGGAGACCACTTTCCCGGCTCTCCTTTCCCAGGCTGACCATTAGCTCAGCACAAACACTGATGGCATTCATTAGAGTCCTTTCAAATGCAGAACACCACCCCCTCTCCTTAGACCACAAATGACAGAGACAGAAAGCCCTAGCCCCAGTAGCATCTCCTCTATGCAGCTTAGATTAACTCTTCTACTGCTGAAACAAGAAATTATTGCAGAGCGTTTTCTTTGTACTTAAAAGAATCACTTGAAAAATGAAAAATGTTCTGTTTTTATACTATGTTCCTAAACGAGGCATCATAAAACTGTTTTTCTTTTAAAGCATCTTTTAATTAGACTAGTTCTAGGGTTTTCCAGCTGTGCTCCTTGGATGCAGGAAGAGGGAGGAATACAAAGGTACGGATCTACTCTGGTGCCTTCCACCTTTATCTTCTCCCTTCAGGAAAGGAGCACAGTGAATTAATAGTGTAGGAGCCTGGATGAGGTTTTGTTGAGCAAAGAAGAAGAGAGGGAGAAGTTCATAAATAACAGAGGACCAAAATATAACAGTACTTACTCTTTTCCAAATTAAAAAAATCCTGAATCCAATATTACTGTTGGGCTAGGGTCGGGCCACTTTGATTCAGTACAACATCCAAATTTTTAAGACACCACTGAGGAAAAAGGAAAAGTATGGCTCAAGTAAACTACCAAGGACTGGTAAAGGATAGAGTGTACAAGTACCCTAAGGGTACTTTGTTAGCAAAACAAAACAATGGTCTGAACACATTTACAGTTAAGGTAAACGGGTTCAGGGAACAAACACCAATCAAATGGGACGAAATTCATTTTTTAATTTTTGGGTCACACCCAGCGATGCTCAGGGGTTACTCCTGGCTCTGCACTCAGGAATTACTCCTGGCGGTGCTCAGGGGACCATATGGGATGCTGGGAATTGAACCCGGTTCGGCTGTGTGCAAGGGAAACGCCCTACCCGCTGTGCTATCACTCCAGCTCCCAAATGGGATGAAATTTTAAAGTGCCAGGTTGCTGCTGTGAGTAAGACACTCTGCTAACAACGCAGTGTTTGTGTGTGTGTGTGGGGGGGGGGGGGCGGCGAGGGGGAGGGAAGACACAAAGCTAAACATTTTTGGTTAGAAACCAAAAACCTCCAAAATAATTAAATGCAGTTACTGGAACAAAAGTGTTTGATCATGTAAGGAAACGGTAACACTAAACTCCATAATCTACAGGTACAGTATCTTGAAAACTTCTGTATCTAAGATTTCATTCAAGTAATTTCACTCAAAAGGCAATGGCTTTTTATCAACCCCCTCCCCCACCCCCTCGCTGCAAAAGAGCTGCTGTAGAGGTTTACAAAAATATTATGAGGCATTTCTCTTACCTCACACTGCTACTTAGGAGAGTAAAAATTATTTTGAGAAATAAGAAAAACATGAAATACACATTCGAATTTGTTCTGAATTGGGACCAGAGAGATAGTACAATGAGCAGGGCACTTGCCTCACACACAGGCTGACCCCAGAGTGATCCTGAGCACGGAGCCAGGATTAAGCCCTGAGCATTGCAGGGCGTGGTCCAAAAAACCAAAACCAAGCTTGTTCGAAAAGTTGTAGGATTAACCATAAATACTGTAATTAAGAGGAGAAATCAGGACAATGTTGGAAGTGGGTCTATTACACGGGGGTGGAGATAGGGTTGGTGGAGGGGTTGCTTCTAAGACAACTGCATAAGTCGAATGATTGGCTATATAAAGGAAGATATTAATAAGACCATATAGTGCTGAAAGATATTGACAAAGAAAGGAAACACATCAGTTTGACCAGTCAGCGGTACTTAATTTTAAGAAGCAATTAAGAGACACAGTCAGATAAGTGTGATGAAATAAATGTCCTGAACACACACACACACACACACACACACACACACACACACACACACACAGAATGTCCTGAACACAAAGAAAAGGTGCAAAGACAAGCAAGGAGACATGAAGAGGACTGCTGAATAGGGTAATGTCTTAGAAAATGAATTTGGCAGCAGAACGCAGGACGCACTGGAGCGTGAAATGACACTTCCCCCCTCTCCTATCGCCTCTGCCAGACCCCTCCATCTGACTCCACTTGTCCTGTGCAATTCTGTCCATTTCCCAACACGGACACTGCTTCACCAGAGAGGACAGTCCACATCACCAAGCTCCTCTCTAGGCTGTCTGGGTCCTATTTCGCTGGCTTCAAAACCCTATTCAGACACCCACATTTAGTAAAGGTTTCCATAGTGGCCCTAGCCCTGGGGTTCTCCACATGGGTAGCAGCAGAAAGCTCTGCTCACATTTTTTCAAGGTTTCTGAAAGTTGTGTAGGGCCAGAGGATGGGATGAAATGAACACCATTCCAACACCACGTTTAAAATGCGCCCAGAGGGCCCAAAGATCCTGTTCACTTAGAGAGAGACACCCATGAACCATAGGCCATGTTAGTGTAACGCAGCTGTTCTGAGCAGATCAAAGATGAGTGACTAATCACTCGACTAGGCTCCCTGACTCTTGTTTTTTCGAGTCTGGGGCCAGATACTCGGCTGTGCTCAGGGACCACTCTTGATGGTGCTCAGGGGACCCATATGCTGGCGCTCCAACCCATGTCTGCCACATGCAAGGCTGGTGCCTTACCCCTGCGCTATCTCCTCTAAGCCCAGGACCCCTGATGCTAACATGTGTAAAGGCTAGGTATTTAACTGCCTCAAGGCTAGCATTTAAACCTGTCCCAAGCATGGGCTTAGCCACAAGCATGTGTACCTATGTGTACATTTATACACATATATAAATACAAAAAAACTACAAACACTTCTGTATCAGTGGGCTCTGGTAGCAAGCTGTTTTCACTAAGATCTTTGTCACTCGTCCTCCATTCACTCTCCCTGTGAATGGCTTTTCACATCTTTGTCCATGCTTCTAAGCAAGCAAATGAGTTTATGGTACTGTATATAAAGAGATTATATTGAACGCATCTTTTAAGCATTTTAGTTTTTAAAACCAACCACATGCACATACACACGCCCATATGTACTATATGCATATATATTAGTATACAAACATACATACTAATAATGATGTTTAGCAGTTGCATAATATTTGCTATTTGTAAAAACAATTTATTAAACTATCTTCTTGCTAAAAGCATCCAAGTTGATTTAAATTTTTTTAAAAAATGTTGAAATATGCATCTTTGTGAGGCTTTTATGTCAATAAAATTTATTCCCAGGAGTAAAAGTGAAGATATGTACAGCTGAAGTATAGTTTACCGTCCTGAAATTACTTTCGTTTTAGTTTTGAGGCCACACCCGGCAATGCTCAGAGGACCATATGCAATGCCAGAGACAGCCTGGTTGGCCACATGGAAGGCAAACACACTCTCTCCATGAGAGCTACGTTTAAAAAGCAGAGTACTCTTCTCATCTATTTTCACAACCCCAGCAGTCAATAAGGAGTACTGTAATGATTTTAATCCCAAGTGACTACTGGATTTCAACATACCATACTGGATTTCAAATGACCAGTTTACTGGTCACTCTGAGTTCTTTTCCCCTTTAGGCTGCTAGTCTTTTTCTTATCACAAGAAACTCTACCTATATTGCAGATATTCATACTTTATCTTCTTGCTTTGAAAATATCTATATTCTAGCTGAGATCAGCACCAGGAGGATTACTCCATAACTTAGAGGCCAGCCGGGTATCCTAGAGGAAAGGGCTGTTCAGATAGAGAAGGGAGCACCAAATAAAGGATGTTTGGAGGATCCTCCCAGGAGGGGAGATGCATGTCGAAAGTAGACTATGGACTGAACATGTTTGCCACTCAATGCCTCTTTTGCAGACCACAACACCCAAAAGGAGAGAGAGAACACAGGGGATTGCCCTGCCACAGAGACAGGGGGGATGGGGGGATGGGGGTGGGAGGGATATTATCCATGGTGGTGGAAAATGGGCACTGGTGGAGGGATGGGTATCTGATCATTGTATAATTGAAACCAAAGCACAAAAAAATGTAAATCTACAACTTTAAAAAAAATAAAATAAAATAAAGGGAAAAAAAAAGAAAATATCTATATTCTACTCTATTTTTCAAAAGGGTAGCTACCAAAGTGTAGCTATACCTTCAAAAACATCTTAAAAATACATATATGGATTTTGGTGTTTTTTAATTTGAAGACCATACAACACTGATGATGAATACAATGTTGTTAATGATAAGGTTTCTTATACATATTGTTCCAACACCACACCCTTCACCGGAGTACCCACTTCCCTCCGCCATTGTCCCAAGGACCCCTCCTCTCCCACTCCCCATCTCCTCTCCCCCGAAGCTCAATTCTATGGACCAACTCTCCAGTTCTGTGCCTCTGTCTGTGGCTCACTCATGATGTTTCTCTACACCCCACATAGAAGGGAGATCATTCTGAACAATGCCAGGAGAGATCCTGGAGCACAGAGCCAGGGGGAAGCGGTGAGCACCTCCAGGTGTGACCCATGTGATTTTTGTCATTATGTCACGGAGTATAATTACACAAACCCTGGCAGTGTGTAATAGAAACCCACTTGCTTTCAGAGGACATTTCTGGTTACTAAAGTACTTGGATAGTCACAGGAGGGGGATAATTCTTTTACTGTAAGATTTATAAATGACTAAGTGCATTGATTATTTTATTTCTTTTTAGTCTTTGGGCCACATCCAGGCTTACTACTAGCTCTGCTCAAGGATCATTTCTGGTAGGCTCGGGAGATCAACCTGAGGTCGACAGCATGCAGAGCACGCACCCTACCTGCTCTACTATCACTCCGGCCCCAGTGCATTATTTTATTTTAATGAATTAATTTATTTTTAACATAGTAAATTTTATTTTGGTATATAAAAG